ATGTTCTTGCAGAGGATCCAGGTTCAGTTCCCAACACCCACATGGCAGCTAATAACAACCCTCAGATCCAGTTCCAGGGGATTTGATGCCCTCTTCTGACCTCTAAGGGCATTGCATGACATGGGTGTACTTACATACATGCAGACAATACACTCATACACATAAAATAAAAATAATAAATACAGGTGGATCTCTGTGAGTCAAGGCCAGCCTGGTCTACACAGTGAGTTCCAGCTGAAGCCAGCTGGGGCTACAAGGAGACCCTGCCTCAAAAAGACCAAAATAATTAATAATAAAATTTTTAAAGGATTCTGAATGAACCAGATTCCTAGACCCCAAGCATCCCAGCTGGCTGTAAGACCAGTGCAATTTGTCTTTCCCTAAATTTGAGATAGTCCCTATATGAACATCTGTAAATAGCCATTATGGATCTCCACCTGACCACTGTGTGAGATCCACCTGCCTCTGCCTCCCCAGTGCTGGGATTAAAGGCATGCGCCACCACGCCCAGCCTAAAAGTAATTTTTAAATGGATCTAACTACTTACAGATCAGATGAACTTTCAACATAGCACACACCAAAGACTCCTCTCCCACTAGCATTTCATGAATAAACATTAGCATACCACATTCCCCTGATAGTGGTAACTTAGTCTTTTAAAGGTTTGCAAGCCTCATTACAACTTTGCTTGCAGATAAGCTGGAAGGTTAGTGCTGTGACCAGTCCCTAACACGGCTCCACGGATGCTTGTTTCCTCATGTTCACATGCATCGGTAACACCTCCGGAAGGAAGGAAGGAAGGAAGGAAGGAAGGGAGGGAGGGAGGGAGGGACAATCCACTCAAAATCTTTTATGATAAAAGCATTCAAGGGGCTGCAGAGATGGCTCATCAGAGGTTAAGAGCACTGGAAGCTCTTGCAGAGGACCTGGGTTCCATTTCCAGCACCCACAACCATCAGCTAACAACTATCCATAACTCCAGTTCCAGGGGATCCAACTCCCTCTTCTGACCTCCTCAGGCATTGCACAATATGGATGCACCTACACACATCCAGGCAATACACTTGCACTCATTAAAAAAAAATTTTTTTTTGTCTTTTTGAGACAGGGTCTCCCTGTAGCCCCAGCTATCCTGGAACTCACTATGTAGACCAGGCTGGCCTTGAACTTACAGAGATCCGCCTGCATCTGCCTCCCGAGTGCTGGGATTAAAGGCGTGCGCCACCACACCCAGCATAATTTTTTTTTAAAGCATTCAAAATGGGATACAGGTGCAAAGCTGGAGGGGCTGTGCGTGATGCAACACCATAACGCTCTCCTCAAAGAGGGTAAGAGTTTATTCTGGAGCCAAATATGAGTGATCATGGCCCGAGAACAAAGATTAGGCTACCCCAAATTCCATGTTCCACCATGGAAGCAGTTTTATAGAGTTTTTATAGTAACAGAAAAAAGTCATAAATCAAGACTTTTCAAATACATTGGTGGATACAGTCGGGGGGGGGGTCCTACTACACGTCTCAGATACTATCTAATGATAGATAGTCTTAGTTTTTGATTGGTGGGACCTAGTGTTCTGCTAAGTTAATATATTCCAAAAGGTTTTTATCTGTTAGTCATGGAATGTTAGGTCAGAAACAGAGATAGGCAAAGAAATGACTATTTAGGATAGCCTGAGATAAGTGGTAATGAACATTCCAGACTCTCCACAATCTCTGGAGTACTAATCAGTTGGTCAGCCTTGCAGGAAATCCAGCCAAAGATGCAGGATTTTCTGGGAACTTTTTCGTTCACACAAGTCCCAGAAGCCAGACTTGGAGCTACTGGGTTTGGTGTCTGCCCCGCTGGTTTTCAGTCTTACTTTGGTCTAGTATTTCCCCATATGCCCCCAGAGCTCCCATTTGGAATGGGAGTGTATATTCAGTCCCATTGTATGTTGGAGGTATGCAGTTTATCTTTTGATTGTACAGGGGCTTAAAGTTAAGAGATTGCCTTGAGTATCAGAAGAGACTTTGGACTTTTGAATAGTATTAAGACAGGTAAAGACAGTGGGTATGGTGGCACATGCATGTAATCCCAGCACTTAGGAGGCAGAGGCAGGGATATCTCCGTGAGTTTGAGGCCAGCCTGGTCTATATAGCAAGTTCCAGGTCAGCTGGGGCTACAGGGAGACCCTGTCTCAAAAGACAACCCCCCCAAAAAAATGGTAAAGACTATGGGGACTTTTGAAAATAGACTAAATGCATTTTGCATCTTATATGGTCATGAGACTATGGGGGCTGGGCGTGGAATGTGGTGGTTTGAACAAAAATGTCCCCCATAGGCTCCAAGTATTTGGATGTTTTGTCCCCAGTTGGTAGCACTGTTTTGGGAGGTCTTAAAAGGTGTGGCCTTGCTGGAGGAAGCACATCACTGGGAGTAGGCTTTGAGGGTTCTTAAGTCTTGCTGGAGTTGCTCTCTGCTTCCTGTGCCTCCTTGAAGATGTAAGCATTTAACTTTCTGTTCCTGCTCTGGCTACCTCACCACACCTCCCCACCAAGATGGACTCTTGCCCCTTGGGAACCATAAGCTAAATAAACTCTTCCATTTATAAGCTCCTTTGACCAGTGTTTTTGTCACAGCAACAGAAAAGTTACTAATACAAACAGCAAAACAGCAACTTCAGGCCTGTGGCTCTAAGGACACACATTCCACCAACAACCTGAAGATATTTGGAGCAGATTCTCCCCCTGTTCATGTCTCTTCTTTAACAAAAGCATTAAAGCTAAACATGGTGGTACATACCTGATCATGACCTTGTGAGCCCATGTTGAAAACACTGCTTAACTGTGGTCAGGCTCCTGAGAAAAAATATGATCTGGTGATCAGGTGTGGTGGCACACACCTTTAGTACCAGCACTTGGGAGGCAGAAGCAGAGGCAAGTGGATCTCTGTGAGTTCGAGGCCAGCCTGATCTACATAGTGAGTTCCAGGCCAGCTGGTGCTACAGGGAGACCCTGTCTCAAAAAGACAAAAAAAAGAGCTGGCTGGGCATGGTGGTGCACACCTTTAATCCCAGTACTCAGGAAGCAGAGGCAGGCAGATCTCTGTGAATTTGAGGCCAGAGTGGTCTATACAGTGAGTTCCAGGCCAGTCAGAGGTACACAGTGTGAGATCCTGACTTTAAAAAAAATTAAGAGCCAGGTGTGGCAGCGCACGCCTATAGTCCCAAGCACTTGGGAGCCAGAGGCAGGCGGATCTCTGAGAGTTCAAGGCCAGCCTGGTCTACATAGTGAGTCCCAGGACAGCTGGGGCTACAGGGAGATTCTGACTCAGAAAGACCGAAAAAAAAAAAAAAAAGAACTGGAACTAACTTCTTCTCTTCCTCCCTCCTTCTCTTTCCAAAGTGCTTGAGTAATAGTGTTTACCACTGTGTCCAAAGCACTGGAAATTTCTCAACTCTGTGCGCGTGTGTGTGTGTGTGTGTGTGTGTGTGTGTGTGTGTGTGTGTGTGTGTGTTGCTGGAGATTGCGTCCAGGACCCTGCACATGCTAAGCATGCATTCTACACACAGAATGTTGAAAGCACAGAAATTTCTTAGAAACTCTGTGTGTTCGTGTGTGTGTGTGTTCGTGTGTGTGTGTGTGTGTGTGTGTGTGTGTGTGTGGTGCTAGAGATTGAGTCCAGGACCCTGCACATGCTAAGCATGCATTTTACACAAAAGTAACTGTTACCTTGTTTCCACTCTAGTCATATAGTCACTGGCTCCAGCTCTCCTTACATGTAGCTTCAAGAAAGCGCAGAAGGAATTAGAAAAGATATGGATTATATATAATACATAGATTATGCAGAGGGCCCATTCAAATTATGTGTGTGTGAGTGTGAACATGCCGTAGTGCACATGTGGAGACCAGAAGGAAACTTCCGACTGTCAGTCCTCTCCATCCATCCACTGTGGGTTCCAAGGACAAACTCAGTTTTCAGACTTGCAAGGCAAGAACTTTTACCTGCTGAGTCATTTTGCCAGGCCCTAAATTCCTCTCTTTAAAAAGCCTTTAAAAAGGCGTGCTGGCACACGCCTTTAGTCCTGCCACGTCTCCAACGATGGGAGTCGAGGAGGGGTAAGTGCGAGGAGGGATAAGTGTGCTGTCCGCCCGTTTCGCCAGCCCCTTCTCTCCAAGGACAATCATACAGGGCAGGGAGTCTGTCAAGCAGAAGCTCGTTTATTATTAAGGCTGAACAATATTTAAAGGCAACAACCACAAGCATACCATAGGCAGGGAGGCCGGTATCCAATCAGCTCAGAGGTCATGTATTAGCACGCAGGCCCTTCTCATAGCATAACTCAGTGTTCACGAGGTGGCCACGCGTCCTTCACTGGCTAAGCTTTAATCAGTACTACTTTCTCTTTTTGTTGCGTGCCAAGCTGGCCAGCTGGCTCCGCCTTCACCTAAGCTGCTCAGCGCCATCTTGTTACCGAACCTCCACATAGTCCCAGCACCAAAGGCAGAGGGAGGCAGATCTCTGTGAGTTCGAGACCAGCCTGGTCTACATAGTGAGTTCCAGGCCAACTGGGGCTACTGGAAGATCCTGTTTCAAAAAGACAAAAAAAGAAAAAAAAAAAAGTACCCAACCTCCAGTATTTTTAAAAAATTTTATTTATTATTTTTATGTCTATGAATGTAATGCCTGCATGTATGTACGTACACCCATGTCTTGCAATGTCCACGGAGGTCAGAGGAGGGTATTGGATCCCCTGGAACTGGAGTTGTTAGCTTTCATGTGGGTGCTGGGACTCAAACCGGGGTCTTCTGCAAGAGTAGCTAGTGCTCTCAACCACTGAGCCATCGCTCCAGTATTTTGTTATAATAGTTGAAAATGAACTAAGAAACAAAGATTATTTACAAGAGTTTTCAATTCTAAGGAGCTAATTATAATAAATAAAAGATCCCCAAGTTTCCAACTATCTGCCCAACATGGAGTGAATAATCAATCTCCCCCAGTACTCATGAAAAAGGCTGGTAACCATTCTATCTCATAAGAATAAAATACTGTTTTAATAACTCAGTGTCACTGAATGACACGAATAGACAAGAGGAAAATAAGTGTGCACATCTGCCTTATGTACAGCACCGGGCAATTATTTACCAGTTTCGTTGTTTAAGAGTGGCTTGCTAGAACATTGAAAAAATGAAAGACTTCATCCTTGTCATAGACAGCCACTTCAGTGGAGCACTCTGTGCACATGACTGGGTGATAGATCTCTTCCACCTGCGTCTCTGCCAGCCCTGCAGACTCTTCATGGCTGGGCCGCATCTTCTTATAGCCCCGCCTCTTCTTCCTGTTTTCTGGATTCTTGTATCTTAGAACTTCCTCTTTGTTAACAGAACAATTCATCACAAACATTGCTCTGTACTGAGTCTTGTAGGATTCATGCCTAAAAGGAGAATGAAATGAAGTTTGAATTTGGATTTTATTTTAATAGTGGTCAGTTTTAGATAAAACTTGGGAACATCAAAAACTTACTGAAATATATACCAAAAATACAGAAATGGGAATGAATCACAAACTGAAGAAATTTGAGGGGGAGCCAGGCGTGGTGGAGCATACCTTTAATACCAGCACTGAGAGGCAGAGGATCTCTGTGAATTCAAGGCCAGCCTGGTCTACATAGTTAAGTTCCAGGGCTTCAGGGAGACCATCTCAAAAAGACAGACCAAAAAAAAAAAAAAAAGGAAATTTGAGGAGCTGGAGAGACAGCTCAGCGATTAAGAGCATTGACTGCTCTTGCAGAGGACCGGGGTTCGATTCCCAGCACCGACATGGCAGCTACAAACTGTCCTTAGCTCTGGTTGCAGGGGAATCCAAAGCCCTCTTCTGACCTCCGCAGCACTGCACGACATGGGTGCACTCACATACATGCAGGCAATGCACTCATACAAATAAAATAAAATAAATTTTGAAAGAGTTGTAATAGGGAGAAACTTTAATTCACTTTCTTCAAAAAAAATATTTTATGTGTATGAGTGTTTTGCCTGCATGTATGTAACTACACCATAAGCACGCAATGCCTCAGAAGAGGGCATAAGATCCCTTGAAACTAGAGTTACAGACACTAGTTAGCCACCACTTGTGGGTGCTGGGAACTGAACCTAGGTCCTCTGGAAGAGCATCCAGTGCTCTTAAATGCCAAGCCATTTTTCCAGCCCCTTATTTATTTTTGAAACCGAGTTGCCAAGGTTAACCTACGACTCATAATCCTTCTGCCTCAGCCTCCCAAGTACTGAGATTGCAGGTATGCACCACTACTCCAAGCAGAAACACATTTAAAATAATTTTTTTTTTTGGTCTTTTTTGAGACAGGGTCTCCCTGTAGCCCCAGCTGTCCTGGAATTCACTATGTAGACCAGGCTGGCCTTGAACTCACAGAGATCCACCTGCCTCTGCCTCCTGAGTGCTGGGATTAAAGGCATGCACCACCACGCCAGGCTAGAAATACGTTAAAAAAATTTTTTAATATTTATTATTTTTATGTGTATGCGTGTATTGCCTGCATGTAAGTGCACCCATGTCGTGCAATGCCGTGGAAGACAGAAGAAGTTGTCAGATCCCCTGGAACTGGAGTTATGGACAGTTGTTAGCTGCCATGTGGGTGCTGGGATTCAAACCCGGGTCTTCTGCAAGAACAACCAGTGCTCCCAACCACTGAGCCATCTCTCCAGTCCCACATTAAAATTTTTTTAATTTATTTTTATTCATGTGCATTGAGAATTTTGCCTGCAATGCTGGTGCTGAGAACTGAACCCAGGTCCTCTGCAACAACAGTCACTGTTGAGCCATCTCTCCAGCTCCCTTAATTGGGGGCGGGGTGGGGGGAGGCATGTAAGTCAGTTCTCTCCTTCCACCATGTGGATCTTGGGAATCAAACTCAGTTGTTAGGCTTGGCAGTAAGTACCTTTACCCACTGGGCCACCTCACCACCTGTTAATTTCTTTTTTTCTTTTTTTTGGTCTTTTTGAGACAGGGTCTCTGTGTAGCCATAGCTGGGCTGGAACTCATGTATGTGGACCAGGCTGGCCTCGATCTCACAGAGATTCACCTGCCTCTGCCTCCCTAGTGCTTGGATTAAAGGCGTGCACCACCACGCTCCACTGTTTCTATAAATTTTTTTGCTTTATTTTTATTTTATGTGTATGCATGTATTATGTGCATGTATACAAGTGCACCTGTGTCATGCAATGCCTGTGCAGGACAGGAGAAGGCATCAGATCCCTAGAACTGGCAGTTAGCAGTCATGTGGGTTCTGGATTCGAACCCAGCTCTTCTGAAAGAACTACCAGTGCTCTTAACCACTGAACCATCTCTCCAGCTGCTTTTTTTTTTTTAATAAAGTCTTGGGGGCCGAGTGGAGGGCGGGCTCCCGGCCACTCAACCCACCAAAAAAAAAAAAAAAAAAAAAAAAGTCTTGCAATACAATCCAGACCAGCCAAACTTGACATACAGCTAGGGTTAGCCTGGAATACTGGGACACAACCATATGCTACTACTCTGTTTGGTTTACACTAACTTTTTTTTTTTTCGTCTAGGGTCTCCCTATAGCCCCAGCAGGCCTGGAACTCACTGTAGACCAGGCTGGCATCCATCTCACAGGGATCTGCCTGCCTCTGCCTCTGCCTCCTAAGTGCTGAGACTAAATGTGTTTGCCACCACCCCTGGCTTCTAAACTAAATGCCTTTTTTATGTACATGAGTGTACTGCCTAAATGTACATATTGCACCTGTGTTGTGCAATGCCCATGGAGGTCACAAGCGGGCATGGGATCCCCTGGAACTGGAATTTCTGATGATTGTCAGTCATCATGTGGGTTCTGGGATTCAAACCTGGACCCCAAGTTTGAACACTACAAGAGCATCCAGTGTTCTAAACCACTGAGCCATCTCTCCAGCCCTTAATGCCTTTTTTTAATATTTTAATTATTTTTATTTTATGTGTATGAATGTATTGTCTGTGTGTATGTGAGTGCAGCCTTACCATGCAATGCTCTAAGAGGTCAGAAGAGGTCATGAGAGCCCCTGGAACTAGAGTTATAGGTGGTGGTTAGCTGCCATGTAGGTGCTGGGAATCAAACCTGGGTCATATGCAAGAGCTAAGCCATCTCTCTGGTCCCTTGAACTAAATTCTTACAGGACACTTAGAGAAGCCTGTAATCCCCATACCTGGGAAGATGAGACAGGAGGATTGCCAAAAGTTTGAGGCCAGCTTGGTCTACACAATGAGACCCTGTTTTAAAAAATAAAAGAGGAGCTGGGCCAGAAGATGGCAGAGGCCATGGAGCTGAGCCTGCTGGAGGAGTTTCTGGGGCTGAGGAAGGGGAATAAGCCTCCACCGTTTCATAGTTGACCTGAGAGTTCAAGGAGAAAGCTGGCCATGGTGGTGCACGCCTTTAATCCCAGCACTTGGGAGGGAGAAGTAGGCAGATCTCTGTGAGTTCACCCTGGTCTCCACAGTGAATCCAGGACAGGTGGGGCTACAGGGGTATCCTGTCTCAAAAAGACCAAAAAAAAAGAAGAAATATCTTAATGTGTCTTGTTGGTTTTGTCACATTCAGCATTACCCAGACATCAGGCAGCATCTGTCCAATGTTGTCTTCATCAACAACAGACTGTATACTGACTCCCACTAGAAGTTTTCCTGATGTCAGAAGATTGAAAATGTCATGGAAAGTGTTTCAGACCACCATACTACCATTAATTAATACAAAGTCATCGTATTTTTTTGAAGTTGGTAGAATTTTTAAAGTATAAACTCAAGTCTCGATGTTTTATTTGTTCTTTAGTTGAAGTTTTGTGATTTTTTTTAATTTTTATTTATTTTTATTTTATGTGTATGCATGTATTGCCTGCATGTAGGTAAGCGCACCCATGTCATGCAATGCCCGCAGAGGTCAGAAGAGGCTGTTGGATCCCCTGGGACTGGAGTTATGGGCAGTTGTTAGCTGCCATGTGGGTGCTGGGATTTGAGCCCGGGTCTTCTGCAAGAACTAGTGTTAAACCCCTGAACCATCTCTCCAGCCCATTTTGTTATTTTTTATGTAAAAATTCAACTGCTGTCAAACCAAATCAGGATCAAATTATAAACAACTTTGTTTTTTTGTTGTTTTTTTTTTTTTTTTGTCTTTTTGACACAGGGTCTCCCTGTAGCCCCAGCTGTCCTGGAACTCGCTATGTAGACCAGGCTGGCCTCAAACTCACAAAGATCCGTCCACCTCTGCCTCCCAAGTGCTGGCATTAAAGGCGTGCACCACCACACCCAGCTAAACTACTTTGTTTTTATAGGTGAGATTTAATAAGAATTTCATGGGGCTAGAGAGATGGCTCAGTAGTTAAGAACACTGGTTGTTCTTGCAGAAGACCCGGGTTCAAATCCCAGCACCCACATGGCAGCCAACAACTGTCCATAACTCCAGTCCCAGGGGATCCAACAGCTTCTTCTGTCCTCCGCGGGCACTGCAAGACACAGGTGCACTTACCTACATGCAGGCCTAACACTCATACACATAAAATAAAAATAATAAAATAAAAAAAAATTTTTTTTTGGTCTTTTTGAGACCAGCTGTCCTGGAACTCAGTATGTAGACCACGCTGGCCTTGAACTCACAGAGATCCGCCTGCCTCTGCCTCCCAAGTGCTGGGATTAAAGGTATGCACCACCACACCCGGCCGGAAAATATTTTTTAAAAAAGAGTTTCAAATCAGTGGCTTAATGGCCAGGCCAACCTGAGTCATAGTGAGAGAGAGAGAGAGAGAGAGAGAGAGAGAGAGAGAGAGAGAGAGAGATACCCTGTCAGTGGTTCACATATCTTGTAGTTATTCACCTTTTTTCATATTTTTAAAATCATTTTCCAGTCAGGCATGGTGGCATACACCTGTAGACCCAGCACTTGGGAGGCAGAGGCAGGCGGATCTCTGTGAGTTCGAGGCCAGCCTGGTCTACACAGTGAGTTCCAGGCCAGTTGGGGCTACAGGGAGACCCTGTCTCAAAAAAGACCCAAAAAAAATTAAAAATTAAAAATTCATTTTCCTATTTTAGATATTTGCAGTTGTTTATTAAAACCTATGATAAATTATGCTAAAGATTCAGAAAGGGAAGACAGATGTATTTGTTCTTAAAATATTTATGTGACCTAGTAAATGTGGTTTTAAAATTTTAAAAATAAATAAATAAATAAAAATTAAAAAAACAAGATCTGGAGAAATGACTTAGTGTTAAGAGCACTGGCTGCTCTTGCAGAGGACCCAAGTTTGATTCCCAGCACCCACATGGTAGCTAACAACCCCCTGGAATTCCAGTTCCAGGGAATCTGACATCCTTTTCTGACCTCTGTGGGCATTACACAACACAGGTGCACTATATATGTGCAGACATTATACTCATACACATAAAATAATAAGTAAACTTGTTTAAATAAAATTTTTAAAAACCCAAAAACCTCACACTCTAAAATTTCCATAGATGGAACAATATTTAATATTTAATTTCCATAGATGGCTCAAGCCTAAAATCAAATTGGAGAGGATTAAAATGTTATGTATGAGCTGGACATGGTAGCACACGCCTTTAGTCCCAGCACTCGGGAGGCAGAGGCAGGCGGATCTCTGTGAGTTTGAGGCTAGTGTCCTCGGCCTCCACATGCACACCATGATATACATGCATACACACACACATACACACACACACACACATACACACATAAATAAATAAATAAATAAATAAATAAATAAATAAATAAAATGTAACTTATGGAGTGACATAGTACCCAGGCTCAAGATGATTTACACTGTATTAAAACCAAAACACTCAGTCCTTTGTCTTGAATTATTTGAAGTTAAAAAAAGTTTTTTTTGAGGGGCTGGAGAGATGATGGCTCTGCAGTTAAAAGCACTGGCTGCTCTTGCAGAGGACCTGCGTTTGGTTCCCAGCTCCCACATGGAGGCTAACAACTGTCTAAAACTCCAGTTCCAGGGGAATCTGAAGCCCTCTTCTGTCGTCCTCGGGTTTGACACAGGTGCACTTACACACATGCAGGCAATACACTAATACACATAAAATGAAAACAAAATATTAAAAAAAGTTTTTGAAGCAGGGTCTCACTCTGTAGCCCAGAGCAGCCTTAAACTTGCAGCAATCCTCCTGCTTTAACCTGTTGAGTCCAGGGATTACAGACTTGAACCACCATACCAGCAGAGGTCTCAATTTTTTTTTCAGGTAAAGGTGCCCACCCGGGTCTGATGATCTGAGTTAACAAGATGGCTCAGCAGGTAAAGGTGCCCACCCGGGTCTGATGATCTGAGTTAACAAGATGGCTCAGCAGGTAAAGGTGCCCACCCGGGTCTGATGATCTGAGTTAACAAGATGGCTCAGCAGGTAAAGGTGCCCACCCGGGTCTGATGATCTGAGTTAACAAGATGGCTCAGCAGGTAAAGGTGCCCACCCGGGTCTGATGATCTGAGTTAACAAGATGGCTCAGCAGGTAAAGGTGCCCACCCGGGTCTGATGATCTGAGTTAACAAGATGGCTCAGCAGGTAAAGGTGCCCACCCGGGTCTGATGATCTGAGTTAACAAGATGGCTCAGCAGGTAAAGGTGCCCACCCGGGTCTGATGATCTGAGTTAACAAGATGGCTCAGCAGGTAAAGGTGCCCACCCGGGTCTGATGATCTGAGTTAACAAGATGGCTCAGCAGGTAAAGGTGCCCACCCGGGTCTGATGATCTGAGTTAACAAGATGGCTCAGCAGGTAAAGGTGCCCACCCGGGTCTGATGATCTGAGTTAACAAGATGGCTCAGCAGGTAAAGGTGCCCACCCGGGTCTGATGATCTGAGTTAACAAGATGGCTCAGCAGGTAAAGGTGCCCACCCAGGTCTGATGATCTGAGTTCGATCCCAGGAACCCACATGGTGGAAGCAGAGAACCAACTCCCACAAGTTGTCCATTTATCTCCATTCACACACACACACACACACACACACCAGAGCACATTCATGCACGCACACTAATACACAATAAATAAAATGTAAAAACAGAGCTGGGTGTGTTGTGTGCATGCACAGAGGCAGGCAGTTCTTTGTGAGTTCAAGGGCAGCATGGTCAAGATAGTGAAACAGTATCTCTAAATAAATAAGTAAATTCTATAGAAAATGTTCACTTTTACACTACTACATTGGAACCCTGCATTAATACAGAACACAATTTTCTACTATGAGATTGTGAAACCTTTCTAAATAGGAACCTGTGGTATTTAATTGAAAGAGAAAAACTTCATGCATAAAGTCATTTCCTTCATTTCATAGTAAGAGAACATAAGGGAGCATAAAAATTAGTTGTCAGGCTGAAGAGATGGCTCAGAGGTTAAGAGCACTTACTGCTCTTGCAGAGGACCCAGGTTCAGTTTCCAACACTCACATGGAGACTTATAGCCATTTTAAATTCCAGTTCCAAGGGATTCGCCCTCTTCTGACCTCCCTGGGTACCAGGCACACATGTGGTATGTAAACACAGATGCAAGCAGACACTCATACATGTAAAATAAAAATAAATAAATCTTTTTGTGTGTGTGTCTTTTTGAAACAGGGTCTCCCTATAGCCCCAGCTGGCCTGGAACTCACTATATAGACCAGGCTGGCCTTTAACTCAGAGATCCTGCAGGCCAGCCTGGTCTACATGGTGAGTTCCAGGCCAGCTGGGACTACAGGGAGACCCTATCTCAAAAAGATCCCCCCCCAAATAAGTTGTTGCTGAAACCTCAAGCTAGCTGGGCATGTGGCAGTGCAGCCCTATAACCCTAGCACTCAGAGCTAGGAGACTGAGACAGAAGGATCAAGAGTTACATAGTGAGACTTTGTCTCAAAAAAAAAAGTCTATTTTCGGGGCATAGTGGCACACACCTTTAATTCCAGCACTCCAGAGGCAGAGGCAGGCGGATCTCTGTGAGTTCAAGGCCAGCCTGGTCTACATAGTGAGTTCCAGGACAGCTGGGGCTATAAGGAGACCCTGTCTCAAAAAGACCAAAGGGGGGAAAAAATTACTTTAGCCTAATATGTAAGGGTCTATAAAACTAGTCAAGTGACTCTATGACTATAGTGACTGCCCTTGTCCTTCAATGACAATAGTGCTCTGCTCACTAATAGTTAACAGGCTCCTGTAACTTGGCTCACTAAAAGTTAACAGATTTCTTTGGACTTTGTTGATGTAGAGGCTTAAGGAGAGGGTGGTCTGCTCCAAGGATGCTGGGAAAGAAGACCAATTATAAAGCTGTCCTTGGGATGCCAGGGCAGGCATACCACCCCCACCCCACCCCCGCTGCCTTTATGTTTCTGTGTACATCAAAGGAACTCTGTTACTGGACCAGTCTCCATGGCCCTGGGTACACTGTGTCTGTTTAAGAAAAGAAACACCAAACTGTTCCTAGTTTTGGTTGTTGTTGTTGTTGTTGTTGTTTTTTGGGGGGGGGTACATGCACACATCTGTTATGTAGTGTGTTTACCCCTTTATCTTTACCTTTGGCAATCAAGGCACAGTGTGGTCATACAGGCAGGGCAGTTCAAGACCGCATCACTATTTGGAACAGGCTGTTGCTTTTGACGTGATCTCTGCAATCCAAAACCATGATAACTAGAACAGAAAAACAGAGTAGGAAAAACGCATTAATCAGTCAGATCCTGGTTTCTAATGTCATTCTCCCAGAAAAGGAGCCAGTACTCAGAGAAAAGGCTAATTCCAGGAATATGGTTTACAACATCTTACAACATCTACCTAAAGCAGCCCGCAGGGGTAGAAAGTAAAGAAATGCTTAAAGACATAAAAAAAAAAAAAAAAAAAAAAAAAAAAGAAAAGAAAAAAAAAAACACCACTCAATGAGGGGACCTTCAAAGAGGAGCCATGTGAAAAAAAAGCTTCCCAGTGGAGAATAAATACTTGTGAGTACATGCTAACACAAATGACTAAAAAACACACACATAATGGGTTAGAACAGGTACACCTCCATACAGAAGAACACTCATTTATACAAACTGTCCTCTCAAGGTGGCAGTGCACAACTCCCCACTCCTTAAGCCTGGGCCACACATAGTGACTTTCTGTCAAGGTATACAGGGCTGGATGTGGTGGTATATACCAGCAATCCCAGCATTCCAGAGGCTGAGGCAGGAAGATCCAGAGTTCAAGGCCAATCTGGGCTAAAACTTGAGACTGCCTTATAAAAACCAAACCAAACTCCAAAAAACCATAATATCAGTCTGATTGTAAGAAAAATCTCAGGTGAATTTTATCACAGGGCACTCCTTCATATATCTGTCCAGAGATCTTCAGAGTACTTAAGATACCAAAACCAGGGAAAGTCTAGGAAACTATTTTTAGGTTTGTTTGCAAGAACTAGACAGGCAAAGTGGTCCACACCTGTAATCTTAGACCTGTAACCCTTGTATTTGGGAGGCAGGGGCAAGAAGACTACAATTTCAAAGACAGCCTGGAATACATAGTGAGTTCCAGACCAGCCTGAGATAGCGAAATCCTCTCTCAAAAACACAAAGGGCGGGGAGCAGGGAGACCCAGGGAGATTGCTCCGTTAGTAAAGTGCCTACTGTGCAAGTATTATGAGAGAGAGCCTGAGCTCAGATTCCCAGCACCCACACACAGTTAGCAGAGGCACACATCTCTAACTGCAATGCTTGAGGGGAGTAGAGAGTAAAGACCAGCAGATCCCCGGAGCTCACTGGCCAGCCAGACTAGCTGAACCAAGGACCTTCAGGTTCAGGAGAGATTCTGTCTAAAAAATAAAGGCAGATTTTTTTTCTTCGGCCCGACATGACGGTGGAGGGGGGGGGGGGGGGGGGGGGGGGGGGGGGGTGTGCTCTGATTTTCACGTAGCCTGATCTACATAGCAAGTTCCAGTCACCAGGGCACATTGTGAAATCCTGTCTCAAAAAACAACGAAAAACACCACTTTCAGTAAATAAACAGCAGGGGCAGTGGAGGAAGCAGCACGTAGTAAATCAAGAAGAAAAAAGGACAGAGAACTGAAGCGAAAAAGCGGTGTACAAATCCCCACACCAACATCAATTCTCCAGACATGAAAAATATAGATTTCTCTGGGCATGGTGGCACATGCTTTTAATCCCAGCACAGAGGCACACAGATCGCTATGAGTTCGAAGCCAGCCTGGTCTACATAGTAAGATAGTGAGTTCCAGGCCAGCCAGGGCTACACAGTAAGACCCAGTCTTTAAAAAAAAAAAAAAAAAAACCTATTCACACTGTCCAGCCAGGCTGAATCAAAACCTCTCCTAGAAACTGCCTCAGTGGGGAACACATGATTAAACCTGCAAGAGGACCTGAGTTTAATCACCAGCACAACATTAATAAAAGCACTCCTTGCCGGGCGTGGTGGCGCACGCCTTTGATCCCAGCACTCAGGATTAGGCAGAGGCAAGCAGATATCTGTGAGTTTGAGGCCAGCCTGGTCTCCATAGCGAATCCAGGCCAGCTGGGGCTACAGGGAGACCCTGTCTCAAAAAGACCAAAAAGAAAAAAAGAGCACTCCTAGAGTAAGACTTGAAACTGAAGAGTTTATTCAGTCTCCCCAGGTGATGATTTGAAGCCCAGTCAGGCCGGGTAAGCCTGGCCAATGGTGCTAAGTTGCCTGGCATTTAGTGTTATGACAAGTCAGCCTGTATATCTACATCAAATTTGGAAACTCCTGCATAATGCTTGTGAGAATGTAAAACAGTTCAGTCACCATGGAAAACGGTTCTTCAAACAGTTCATGTGAGTCTGGGATGTGGCTTGCCAGCAGAGCACTTACTGAGTTCAATCCCCAGTATCATACACAAAAAGTGAAAATGTGGAATTACCATATGATCCAGAAGTTCTCCTAGGTTTAAAACCAAAAGAAATGGAAGTAGGGACTGAACCAAATACTTGTAATAATGTTCACAACACTATTCACAATAGCCAAAAGAGAAACAATACAGATGCCCCTTGGTGAACAAATGGATAAACAAATTCAGATACATACATGCAATGTAATATTGCTTAGCCATAGAAAGGAGTTCTGACGTATGTGCTACAATGTAGACAGACCTCAAAAACATGCTCTGGGGCCCGGCATGGCGACACATGCCTTTAATCCTAGCCCCCAGGAGGCAGGCAGGTGGATCTCTGTGTGAGGTCAGCCTGGTCTACACAGCTAATTCAGGCCAGCCAGAGCTACACAGTGAGACCCTGCCCTCTGCCCCCACCAAAAAAAGGCTCAGTCTTTCTATGAAACACATAAAAAAGATGACATACCACATAATGCCCCACATACATAAACTATAAAATATCCAGAATGGGTAAATCCAAAGACAGAATACAGATCTACAGTTGCCAAGGGCCAAGAAGCAAAGGAGGGGGGCTGGAGAAATGACTCAGCATGGTACCATGTCTCTTGCAGAGGACCTGAGTTTAGTTCCCAACACCAACATGGTGGCTAACAACCATCTGCAACTCCAGTCCCAGCAGAATCCCACACTCTCTTCTGACCTCCTCAGGCATTGCCCAACACGGGTGCACTCACATACATATGTGCTACAATGTGCACATACATATGTGCAGTACACTCATACACATAAAAAAAATAAATAAAATACTTTAAAAAAATAACATCTCTTCATCCACATAAACTTCTTTTGTTTTTTTGTTTTGCTTTGCTTGATGTCTGTGAGCCCAGGCAAGGGGGTACAGGGCCCATGAGCCACAGTATTTCTATGGAAGCCTTTTGGGGCAGTGTCTGTCATCGGTAGGGTAGACACTGAATTTGACATGGCTGCACTTTTAAATTTTTTGTCTTTTTGAGACAGGGTCTCCCTGTAGCCCCAACTAGCCTAGAACTCACTATGTAGACCTGGCTGGCCTTGAACTCACAGAAATCCGTCTGCCTCTGCCTCCTGAGCTCTGGGATTAAAGGCGTGCGCCACCATGCCCAATCTTGTCTTATCTTTTTTAAACAGGTTCTCCGGTAGCTACACTCCTGTAACCCTAGCACTTGACACATAGAGGCAGGAGGTTCTGTTCAAGGCCAGCTGCTACTACATAGTAAGTTTTTTTTTTTTAAGATTTTATAATTTTTATTTTATGTGTATGAATATTTTGCCTGCATGTATGTAAGTGCACCACATGCATGCAATGTTCCCATAGGCCAGAAGAGGATGTTGGATTCCCCTGGAACTGGTTGTTAACGGCCATGTGGGTGCTGGAAATCAAACCCAGGTCCTCTGGAAAAACAGCCAGTATTCTTAACTTCTGAGCCATCTCTCCAGCCCCTACAGAGTAAGTTTTGAGATCCTGTCTCAAAAAAACAAACAAAAACAATTTCTGACTGAAATTCGCTGGTTATCTTCAAATTAACTATTCAAGGTTTTTGCCTCAAACTCTTTTGATGTGCTTGTATGAAAATAAATACACATACAGTAAAGTACGAATGTAGCAAAAAAAAAATCACTTTTCAACTTTTCTCTAAAGATTCTAAATTTAAATTCTTACCCCCTCCTCTTTGCATCAACCCAGGCCTGGTCTCTGTTATCTTTTTCAGGGTCATAGAGCAATTCATCATTTGTTGGAATCCTGTGCCGTTTCTTCTTTTTTTTCTTGGCTGCTTGTGCTAATTTTTAAAAGGTTAAGGATATGGATAAGTACCATGCCTAAAGTTTACACTTCAATATAAAAAATACAAAACAAAGACTTTCCTGCTTCCCAAGCTATGTATTTATTCTACTTATATCATCTAAACAACAACAAAAAAAAAAATCAAACCAAAAAAACCCATGCTTAAAGCCACTCTTCAGCCTGCAGTCCTACAATTCAAGAGTCCAAGGCAGCAGGAAGCTGCCAGGAGTTCCAGGCCAGCCTTGGTGTGCTGGGTGCTTTAGTGTCAACCTGATACACCTGGGTTGAGGGAGCCTCAACTGGGGAATTGCCTCCATTGAACTTGCCTGTGGCCATGTCTGTGGGTCATCTTCTTGACTGTTGAGTGATGTGGAAGCGCCCAGTCCACTGTGGGTGGTGCCACCCCTGGGCAGGTGGGCCTGTGTTGCATAAGAAAGCGGACTGAGCAGGGGCCAGGGGAGCAAGCCAGTAAGCAGCATTCCTCCATGGCCTGTGCTCCAGCTCCTGCCTCCAGGTTCCTGCCCTGAGTTCCTACCTTGGGCTCCCTGATGAACTGTGACCTGGGAGATGTAGGATGAATAAACCCTTTCCTCCCCAAGTTGGTATTGGTCAGAGTATTTTGTCACAGCAATGGAGAAACAAACTAGAACACTGGGCAACAGAGTAAAACTCTATCCCCCAAAATAAGATAAAACTGTTCTTCAAAAAAGGATCTTGTCTAATTAAGGTACTAAAATAAAGATGGTAGAGGAGGTCAATTGCCCCTTCACTAGAAACTGTCTCAAACAATGAGAATTCAGTCTTTAAAAAAGCCATTTAAGGATCAGCACTTGTGTGGGAGGTAGAGACAGGAAGCCACTTAATGTAATCCCAGTGCTTGAGAGAGAAGCAGAAGCATCTGGGGTTCAAGATCATTCTTGGTTACACATCTTTTGAGGCCAGCCTAAGTTACATGATACCCTGTTTAAAAAAAGGCACCTGCCACCAAGCCTGAGAACTTGAGTCCAAACCCTAGGAACCACGTCTAAAAGAAGAGAACTGACTCCCCCCAAATGTAAATTTTTTAATGATTTTTTGGAGGAGACCATGTCTCATGTAGCCTGAGCTGGCCTCAAACTAGCTGTACAGCCTAAGATGATCAGAACTTCTGATACTCCTGCCTCCACTTCCCAAGTGCCTGGATCATATGTGTGTGCACTGCACCATCTGACTTAGTGCTGGTGATTTCAAACCCAGGGCTTTGATCAGGCAAATAATTCTACTAACTGAGCTATACTCTCAGTCCTATGAACTTTTTTGGTCTTTTTGAGACAGGGTCTCCCTGTAGCCCCAGCTGGCCTGGAACTCACTATATAGACCAGATTGGCCTTGAACTCACGGAGATCCGCCTGCCTCTGCCTCCCAAGTGCTGGGACTACAGGCGTGCGCTACCATGCCCTGTGCCCAGCTTATACTTTTTTTTGGCTATGAACTATTTTTGGGTTTTTGTTTGTTTGTTTTTGGTCTTTTTGAGACAGGGTCTCCCTATAGCCCCAGCCAGCCTGGCACTCATTATGTAGACCAGGCTGGTCTTGAACTCTCAGAGATCCGCCTGCTGGGACTAAAGGCATGTGCCACCACATCTGGCTTTTTGGGTTTGTTTTTTCTTGGGATTATGAACTATTCTTAATGTATAAGCACACCACAAATTCTGCATAAGATACTACTAAAATGGATGTTCTGGATCATGTCTCCATTTGGGAAGCAGAGGCAAAAATACTGTCATGAGTTTGAGACCAGCCTGAGCTACATGGTGAATTCCACTGTGAGACCCTCTCTCAAATAAGTATTAAAATCAGAACAGAAATACCTCAAAATAAATGGGAATTTCTTAAAAAGCCCATTTGGATGTAGTGATCTCCATCTATAATCCCAGCTACTTAGGAAGCTGAGGAAAGGATCCCTGAGTTCAGAGTGGCCTGGGCAACACAGTCAGAGCCCATCCTGTGTGTAAGAGGTGGAGAAACTAAGGGAACCATGGCTGCAACTCAGTGTTACACTTGTTTAGCATTCTTGAGGACCCAGCACATTAAAAACAACTAAAAATTGCCAGGAGTGGTGGCTCGAGCCTTTAAGCCAAGCACTTGGGAGGCAGAGAAGGCGGATCTCAGGAGGCTAGCCTGGTCTACATAGCGAGTTCCAGGCCAGCTGGGTCTACAAAGAGACCCTCCCTCAAAAGAAAAGAAAAGAAAAAAAGCAGCCGAGCTGGGGACACCGAGTCAGGACCGTCCCTGTCCAGGCCCTCAGGGAACCATTGCTGAGGTCACAAACACATACACCTGCACACCCTGCTTTTCTTATTAATCAGTCCTGGGTTGTTGTTTGTTTGTTTGTTTTTCATATCAACAGCATAAAACTTCTTAAAAATAAAACTCAAAGATTAACGCTACTGTTAAAAAATTGTCATAAAATATAGCAGCTAAACAAAATGCTACTTACCTGCTTTGTCTTCATCCTCAGAATCAGAATCAAAATATATATCATCATAGTACTTTGCTGTAACTTCTCCAACCTTCTCATTTCCTGAGGAAGACCCTATCAGACCAGAAGTGAGATATACACACCAAATCATACATAAGTCACAAGAAGAAGCCTACATATATTCTTCCATCAGTTCAAAATAGTATTGATTTATTCACACTCTCATTCACGTAGTAAAATTTTTTTCATATCATTACTTGATTTCTATGCCCTATGCACCTGCAGGGAGAAAATCATCCTTTCTCTCTTCCCACAAATCTCATTAAAATCTAAAACTGTATTTCCAGGGTTTTGGCATACATATCTCTACCTTTTAACCATGTAACATGCTTTGGGAAACAGGCATGTCTTGTTTCAAGGGGCATTTGTGGAAGAGGATAAGAAGCCTCCAGAAGGGCAGAGGGAGGGCTCAGGAGCACCTTCCTCTCCCAGTTACACCCAGTGCCATGCTGTGTGCATATGCCTGTGCCCTTTCCTCTCCCAGTTACACCAAGTGTCCTGCTGTGTGCATATGCCTGTGCCCTTTCCTCTCCCAGTTACACCAAGTGTCCTGCTGTGTGCATATGCCTGTGCCCTTTCCTCTCCCAGTTACACCAAGTGTCCTGCTGTGTGCATATGCCTGTGCCCTTTCCTCTTCCTCTGCTTTACCTGCCTTACAGTTCTCCACAGTTACAATGCAGTGCAGCAACCTGAAAAGCAGTTCTGACGAGTCCTACTTTAGCAAATCAGTTTTCAAGGCAAGTATATTTTATATAAAGACCCCCAAAATTAAGTGTTTTATTACTTACTACAATGAAACAGGAATTTGTAGTGACATGTTATTAAATCTGTCATCAAACCCTAAAACTATTTTTATGAGCCTGTGTGTTTGTTTTTTTAATTTTATTATTTTTATTTTATGTGTATGCATGTATTGCCTGCATGTAGGTAGGTAAGTGCACCCGTTTCGTGCAATGCCCTCGGAACTCAGAAGAGGCTGTCGGATCCCCTGGGACTGGAGTTACGGACAGTTATTACTGCATGTGGGTGCTGGGATTCGAACCTGGGTCTTGTGCAAGAACGGTTAAGTGTTCTTAACCACTGAGCCATCTCTCCAGCCCCCAAGCTTGTGTGTTTTTATTTTTTAATAAAAACTACAAAAAGAAATTATACAAGTATTACTCTAAATAGTCTTTTTCCAACAACACATCTTTTTAGTCATCAAAGAAAACTGTGTCATAGATTGCCAAATACATTTAGTCCTTCATTTAATAAGTATTTTTATTATCAGCCTGGTACAGATCTGTCATCCCAGGTATTCAGGAGGCTGAGGCAGGGGGATGACCTGGCCTACAGTGAGTGTAAGGCCAGCCTAAGTACTTTAGCTAGACCCTGTCTCAAAATTTTTAAACGGCTTGGCTTGTAACTCAGTGGAAGAACATTTGCCTAGCAAACACAAGACCTGGGTTTGACACCCCCCCCAAGTACCACAACACACACAACACATACAACACACGCACACTCACAAAGTATTTCTTAAGCACCTACACAAAGTGCTAGAGACAGAAAAAGAACACAAATAAGATTCTTGGCTTTTCAGAGCCTACAAAAATATATATTTAGCCTACAAAAAAATGGAGCCAAGAGTTACCTGTCCCTAGAGAGGATAACTTATCCTCCATTGTTTTTATAGTAGAATTTAATTCCGCTTCCATTTCTTTTTCAAATTCATCTTCACTAGATGATTCACTTTCTCCAGTAAGACATTCTCTGATGAGTTTTCGTTTTTGGTCAGGAGTTCCATGTAAAAGCACATCCACTTCATCCTCAGAACTAGCGTACATTTAAAGCAGAAGAAACATGAATATTAAAGAATAAAATCAGGGCTGGGGATGTGATTCAGTGGTGGAGCACATACCTAGCGATTACAAGGCCCTATTTTTTTTTTTTTCCCAAAACCCCAAAAAAAAAAAAAAAAAAAAAAAAAAAAAATCACTTAAACTGCCCATAATTTTACTGCTCTACAGCAATTCATATTACATATAGCCATGATCACTTAATAGATCAACTAATTCTTCCTATTTCCAAATACTCATTTTCTCTTCTCTTCTCTTGGTTTTTTGAAAGAGTCTCACAATATGTGTGTATATATATATATACACAGCTGGATATATATATCTCCAGCTGGCCTAAAACTCACTATATAGACCAAACAGACCTCAAAGTGGCAGCAATTTTCCTACCTCTGCTTCCTGGATGCTGAGGTGGCAGATGTAGGCCACCAGGCCACCAGTAACTCTCTAGTATCTCTATAGCATTTCCTCTTATTCACACTGTGCATTTACTCCTCAACTCTGTAATAAAAGTGAACACTTCCACATATGTAACTCTGTTTCTGTTGATTTCCTCAGGAAAAATGTCTAAATTTAGAGACCAACACCTTCCTGACTTCTTGTATTATCACAATGCATTCCAAAACCATCCAACCAATTCGTAATTTCATCAATAAAAAGCTTACTTCACAGAACTAAGAGTTTTAGTTAAATAAAAACGCAACGAATTAGGCGGGCACATGGCTCATGCCTTTAGTCCCAGCACTCAGGAGGCAGAGGCAGGTGCATCTTTGTGAGTTTGAGAAAAGCCTGGTCTACATAGTGAGTTCCTAGCCAGCTGGGGCTACAGGGAGACCCTGTCTCAAAAAAAAAAATCACTATATATTAATTAGTTAAATGTATATTTATTTTTATTTTTTGTCTTTTTGAGACAGGGTCTCCCTGTAGCCCCCACCGGCCTGGAACACACTATGTAGACCAAGCTGACATCGATCTCTTAAGAGATTTGCCTGCCTCTGCTTCCCCAGTGCTAAGATTAAAGGTGCGTGCCACAACACCCAGCTCATTTTTCTTTTTTGTTTTTCAATTAAGAGCTTTTTGGAGCCTTACTCCAAGGTGACCAACAGAAGACAAGACAGTCCACCTCAGAAAGGGACTTGATTTGCTGCACAGACGGTGCCCAGTGCATGCCCAAGAACAGGCCACGAAGACGATCCTTATTCAGGGGCTGGAAAGGCAGCTCAGTGGTTAAGGGCACTAGCTGCTCTTACAGGGGACCCGGGTTTGAGTCCCAGCACCTACATGGCAGTTAACAACAGACAGTAACTCCAGTTCCAGGAGATCCAATGCCCTCTTCTGACCTCCAAGGCATTGCACAATATGGGTGTGCTTAAATACATGCAGGCAATACACTCTTACACATAAAATAAAAATAATAAAATTAAAAAACAAAGCTGGTTTCATAAAGACAGAAGAAAAAACATCAGGGGGAAAATAAAATGAAAATTATACTTTACAAAAGGGAGAGAGAGCAGCAAGAAGGGAACCAGGTGTGATGCGGCACACCTGTAATTCCAGTGTTTAGGGGCTGAGGCCAAGAGGAGGAACTTGTTTCAAAAAAAGGAAGAAAAGGAAGGGGGGGGAAGGGAAGGGAGGGAAAGGGGGGCGGGAAAGGGAAGGGAGGGAAGGCTGGTGGCCTGGTGCACACGCCTGCAATCCCAGAGGACTGCTATGAGTTTGAAGCTAGCCTGCTACACAGAGTATCAAGAGAAGAAGGAAGGGAGGGGACCATATTTCCAGGCAGCAAGAGTGATCCTTGTAAGTACACAGTGTTCTACATCTGGCTTGTTTCAGTGTCCGTATCATAACTTTCATATTGCACTATAATTTAATTTTAAAAAATTTATAGCCGGGTGTGGTGGTGCACACCTTTAATCCCAGCACTCGGGAGGCAGAGGAAGGCGGATCTCTGTGAGTTCAAGGCCAGCCTGGTCTACATAGTAAATTCCAGGGCAGCTGGGGCTACAGAGAGACCCTGTCTCAAAAAGACCAAAAAAAGAAAACAAAAAGTTTATGTATGTGCATGAATACAGACGTTAGAGCACAACTTCTGGGAGTTGGTTTTCCGTCTACCTTGTAAGACAGGGTCTCTCATTTCTGCCGTAGCTTACTGCAGGCTAGCCCTCAAGCTTCTGACCACCTCCCCTGTCTCCAGCTCCCATCTCACCATGGAACTGTGGGGATTTCAGCTGCACACTAACACACAGCTTTCAACATGGGTTCTGGGGATTGTACTAAGGTCCTTGCACAGGAAGTGTTTTTACAAGCTAAGCCATCTTCCTAGCCTCCACACTAGAATTTTCTATGCTAACATTGGGAAGAAACTAGGTTAAGGATACCCAGGATCTGTCTGTATTTCATACAAAGGCATACAAATCTACAGAACTTCAAAATAAAAAGTCTTTTAAAAATTGAATCATCTCAGGAGGGAGGCAGAGGCTGGCAGATCTCTGAGATTGAGGCTATCACGCTCCAGGAAAGCTGAGGCTACAAGGAGACATGTCTCAAAAAACAAAACAAACAAAAGAAAAGAAAAAAGGAAGGAGGGAGGGAGGAGGGAGGTGGACAGGAGAGGAGAGGGGAGTCAGGGAGCAGTGGGGAAAGAGAGAAACATATCACTACAAGTTTCCCCCACGTAGGGTAAATCCCTACTTCCGAAATTCCTACAAAACTCCATCTGTGCCTATAGCAGGATGGCCTTCCAATTAAGATACAGAGTCGGGGCTGGAGAGATGGCTCAGCGGTTAAGAACACTGGTTGTTCTTGCAGAAGACAGGGGTCCGAATCCCAACACCCACATGGCAGCTGACCGTTGTCCATAACTCCAGTCCCAGGGGATCCCACAGCCTCTTCTGACCTCAGCGGGCATTCCACGACATGGGTGCACTTACTTACTTGCAGGCAATACACGCATACACATAAAATAAGAGTGAATAAAAATTTTTTAAAAGATACAGACTTTATTTCCCCTACTATAAAGTAGACCTGTGGAAGACAAGAAGCTTACGATTTATCTGAGTGTGCCTGCTCACTATTCCCTCATTTCTCGTAGTTTTTCACGATGGGCACTTCATGTTAAGCCCTGTGACCTTCACCGGAAGCTTAAGGTATAATCCCATACTTGTCTTCCCATTTCTAGATGCGAAGCCGAGGATAACTGACTTGCCTCAGTCACACCGCCAGTAAACAGAACCGGGATTCGATGTGTCTTTCCAGGGCTTACGCGTGGGGCCCCTGCGAGTCCGGAGCACCCCTCTTCCCCGCACCGCTATCAGTCCTGGCTGCCAGGGACTGCGCGACCCCACCAGGAACCCCGAGGCTCCACCCGAGAACAGGACGACATTGTGGCGAGCAAAGCCAGCCGAAGCCAGCGCCGGGCGGGGCCGGGGCGCACCTGCTCAGAGCCGGCTCCTCGTCACTCGGCTCCTCAACCGCGTAGGGGTCGTAGTCATCCTGCAGCCGGTTCATGGCGGCCTAGGGCTGCCTACACGGTCCCCAGACGGTAGGGTCTCTGTTTACGCCACGGGTGTCTCCCATAAAGGGTCCGGAACACTCCACTTCCACCACATCCGAGTCCTTCCTGTGTGTCTGCGCAAATGGCCCGGGGCGGGACCGCGGAGGACCGGTAGACTGCGTCCTGTTTTCTTAGGTGGAAACATCAGCCGTCATTTTGTGCAATTTTTCTGTTGCTTTATATAGTTTTTGAGGTGGTCTCACTGGAAACATCAGCCGTCATTTTGTGGAATTTTTTTTGTTGCTTAGCACTTAAAGGGGAGGCTCTTCTAGACCTGTGTCCCATGAGAATGGGTTCTCGCAGACCAGCGGAAGCGGAATGGGCTGGACCTTCCTTTTTGCCCACAGACTGTCCCCGTCCCGCGTGGGGTGCGCCTAGGGCTGGCACGACTGGCGAGGCCGGGTGTCGGTCTCGGTCTCGGATTGAGTTCCCAGGCAGGCCCCTGCCGCCGGCTTGCAAGCCCCGCCCCCTGCCGCCAGCGCGTAGTGGGCGGTGTCCCCGGAGGAGGCCGGGCTCGCCTTCGGGGCGTGGTAGATGCAGATAAGGACGCGCAGAGGCTGCCGGTCTCCCGCTCATCTTGACCTTCCACGTCGCTCGTGGGCAATATTTAAGGGGACGAACGGTGTTTCTGGGGAAGCGAGAGAGTATCGAGGGGGCGTGAGGGTAAAGAGGCTCGTTGGCAAGTACACCGTGACTTGAGAATGGGGCGGGGGGAGTGGAGTGCGTGCAGGCGGCGCAAGCAACTCATACTTACCTGGCAGGGGAGATACCATGATCACGAAGGTGGTTTTCCCAGGGCGAGGCTTATCCATTGCACTCCGGATGTGCTGACCCCTGCGATTTCCCCAAATGCGGGAAACTCGACTGCATAATTTGTGGTAGTGGGGGACTGCGTTCGCGCTCTCCCCTGGTTTCGTGGTGCCAAAGTAAGACCGTCCTGTCCTCTGTTGGCCGAGGTGCCTTCTTGT